CTCGCAAAATCGCACACAGCCGACCATATAACAAACTCTGTATTTTGAGTGGAAATGTTAGGGGGTCGTCTTATACGCCGAGTCGTCTTATACGCCGGCAAATACGGTAAATAATCCATGTTTTCCTCCAAGATTTGAAAGCTAGCTACTGGCAGATCTTGGACCTGAAGGCAGGTCATCGAACTCTAAATTAGCTGCTTCTGTCCACTACAGCATGGAATCCTGGCTTTGGTTTCAGACCTACCTATAATAGCATTTCCTTATAAAGTGTTTAACTCACCTTAAAAACGACCAAGAAAAAACATAAAAAATAACATCGACCAAGAAATTAAAATAACCCAAATTGACAGTCTCATTCTTTCATTTGTGGTACACATACATAAATTTCTAAATTGGCATAGAGCACCTTGAAAGAAAGAATCCCAAATAAATTATTAAGACTTAAACCCCCGAAACGTCTCCAAATTTTCGACAATACTTGTTTTTATAATTGGAAAAGCTTATTTTAGGTAAAGAGAAAGCAGCAGAAAGTTACTGGTGTTCAACTTTTGTACAACAAGCCCAGAAAAAATGTTTAATAGACAAACATGTAGACTATTTCCAACTGAGGGAATAGATCCATAAAACAATACATGAGAAAACTGAATTTAACCCTAGAAAATAAGAAAGGAAGCAGAACTGAGGCTAGAGGTAGATGGCACTGACTAAACATTTAGATGGAAAGTAGTTCTTAAAGCAATCTAAGGAAGGAGCTGGATCTAAAACCAACAGAAAATATTTTCTATGCTAACTAGTGGTTTGGTTTACCTGCATTCCCCTGGCTTTAAAAGGATAAAAAAAAAACCCCAAACAACAATTTCACAAAGAATTGAGATGCGGTATTATATGCCATCAAATGAAGGTTAGGATAACATTAATTAGAGCATGCAATGTCCCCTTTCTATTGTCTCCACTACCTCCTCCCTTTTCTCTGATAAACTCTAAAGTTATAGAACTGTATGGGATTTAGAGCCAAATGTATCTGTTATTTACCATACCCAACTATAATCATTTACTTAAGTCGGCAGCAAGTGATTACATTATACAAATCTAAGACACTAGCACGCAAAAGTCAAAATCTCTTGCTCTATTTTTAACTC